GATCAGTTGGAAGTGCGGTGGGAAGACGATTTCAGGATGTTCGCGCGGAGCAGACTGGCAGAACACGGTGACGACTTCTGAATGGTTCCAGATCATGGCCCGTTTCTCTGTTTATGTCAGATGAATAACGGAAATAAATGTAAATGTAAATGTAAATGTGGTTATTCATTCATTATTACTACTTTTCAATCTTCTGACTCCTGTGAACAAATCAAAGTAAAATTGATGTTTATTTATTATTATTACTTATTATTATTATTATTATTATTATTATTATTATTATTATTATTATTATTATTATTATTATTACCATTGTTATAATTATTCATTATTATTATGTTAGTAGTCCTCAACTCCTTAACACCCCACTTGCACCAGATACCTTTGAGTGGCCCGCTTAGCCAATTAGTGTTTAGGTAGTCAAGGAAATCTTCACACTTCTCATATGCGTCGTGATTGCGGGGTACAGGGGATTCTGCAGGGCTGGGACTTCTGTGAGAAGAAATGGCAAAGTTCGATAGTTTCTAAATTAATCTCCTTTTGGACACGCATGGCTTTTTTTTACAGATTCGACGAAGTTTACCAGGAAGAACCCACCCCGATCAAATTGCTTCGTATTGTAGAAGAATGTCTAGATACATAACTAATAAGTCTATATAGTTGCTTGTGAGATTTACACATATTTTGGATATTTTTTGTGTTCGCTCACTGATTTTCCTAACCAAGTTAGAACGTATACTGGCTAATAATGATAATGAATAATAATAACAATGATAATAGTAAGCAGTAATAGTAGTAATAGTAATATTAAATATGGACATCAATTTTACTTTGATTTGTTCACAGGAGTCAGAAGATTGAAAAGTAGTAATAATGAATGAATAATCACATTTTATCTGAAATCACCTTTTTCCCTTCCGAAATCGCTATTCGCCAATCTTTTGCACCGTTATGGACATGTACGGCGCGTCTCGCCCACAGGTAGCTGGCGCCTAGTCGCGAGGCAGCACTAATTAGGTGCCAAAATTTGAGGTCACTTCGCACCTCGTCGCGACGCAGCACTAATTAGGTGCTGAAATTTCCAATCGTACCACTTGAGACACACCCGGGAGAGGATGTAGCGCAGCAGAAAACAAGGACATGAGAAAAAATGATATAAAATATTCTTTGCAGGTTCAGTCGCTCCGTCTCTCTACCTTGAGAAGGAAGTATTTGAAAGTGTACAAAGAATGAAAGTGCATCTTTGCAAGGAACAGGGTCACATGTGCACACGCGCTGCGAAGGCATTTCCTCTATCTACCGCCCGCTCCCTCCCCTCAATGGGTATGTGAACCTAGAATATAGCTGTATACGGTAAGCCAATTAAGTGTTACTGTAATGTGCCTCGCCTTCAGACCTGCCTGTGGGTGACCTCATTAAATTGCTTGAGCTGACCTCTTCCTGAATCTTCGCCCAAACAGAATATTGATTACCAATACATCATAATAATCATAATAACGCTTGACAAAAAATTTGCTACCTAAAGCTATACTCTTAAAAGCAGCATCCGGAATTTGAGCAAATCCAAAGTCATGTGTTGTCTAAACTTCTTGTTGGAGTTTGCGCGATGTTCCCGCTCTTTCAACTCCATGAATCCGCTAAGTATTTACTAAATTAACTCCTTTGGCGACAATGGCACCCACCGGTGGGTGCCACTATGACCGCCGCGTGGGACAATGGCACCCAATGGTGGGTGCCACCTAAAATTTTCTTCTTTACGCATTTAAAACATTTTCAACATGTCAATAATTATAAGCAAGTCTCGTTATGTCTCGTCCAGCAATACGTACATGATCACAAAGCTTAAGGCTGCAGCCATATTTCGTATATTGCCAAAGTCAAATTTAGATAGAAAAACTGCTATTTGGGACAGCTTGGCCCATTTTGTGCGAGAGTTGGGCGCGCCAAACCGAGGCGTGCACGCCTTTCGTGATGCCATTGGGATGCTTCACCAAAACGACCTCTGTCTTAGTGAAACTAACTTGCAAAAAGAGACCCTTTGTCGGTTCTTTTGGATCTTGGCTCAGAAACGCACTAGCTGGCGCCTCCCCTTTCACATTTCCTCGGTATCAACGTATCGTGAAAGCCGATTTTGAGCATGCGTGCCCTTTAGTCAATTTGACTACAAATGTTGAGACACCGATAACGACAACTATACATTCTTTCCCTCCTTTGAAAGGCTCAGCTTTAGTAATACAAAACGCATGTGCTCCCTGTCTAGGATCTGTTCCCACGCATTGGTTGACGGCAGCCTCACAACCGCGCACTTTGGGTACCCCTCAGGAGGCCCGTCGCGCGGCAAGAAGGCAGAGTCGTCGGACGAGTTGCAGCGCGTGATGTGCGATGTAGGACGTGCAATGGGACACTCTAACTTGACGCGAAATCCCTATAGTGCGCGCGCGACTCGTCCGCTGACTTTGCCTTTTTGCCGCGCGACGGGCCTCCTGGGGGGAGGGGTACCCGCGCACTTTAATTGGCGAAGGTGGGACAATCTTTTACATGCGGACCCAACACTTCCGCTCACCGCACGCCTTTGACGAAGCGGTCTGCCACTATCGCACTATCACGCCATTCGGCGCCAGACGGTGCCCTGGGTGAATCTCACCAAATTCGCTGTAAACTTGTAAATAGGACTTTTCGGGGTGCAATAGTGCAATAGTGCCCCGATAACGAATATGGCATTCGTTTCGGTCACTGTCGCTATGTCGCTGGCGCCTATTTGCTGGTCGTCTGCGCCCTCTCACCAATCGTAATTGGGACTAGGCCTTTGGAGCGTGAAGTGCTCCAAAATGAGTGAGCCACTCTCCTGTGATCTCACCTACTTCATCTTTTGACACACAATGCTTGTTAAACCCACCACGGCGCAATCACTCGCTTTCCCGTGCTTAGCCGTGGGTGCCTCGAGTGAGAGAGTTCATGAGAGCAGAAATGAAGGCCCTATCTGCAAGTTTACAGCGAATTTGGTGAATTCAGTCAGGGCGCCATCTGGCGCCAAATGGCGCCAATTTGGCGCCAGCGCCAAAAATGGATGTCATATTCGTGATCAGGACCCTCGATAACCCCCATAGGGAAGTTTCAGCGAAAATTTTTTGACCCATCTCACATCTACTGGGGTTGCAATAGTGCAATAGTGCCCAAATGTTCCTGACTACTTTCAGAATAATCGCTCCAAATGTTGGCTATATTTCGTGTTTTATGGGCCATGCAAAATCTTTGGATCATTCGTGTGCTTTGTTGGGTGAGCGTTTTCGATATATCACCTCAGGCACCAGTAAATAAACTCATGACGTTATAATTATAGATTAAGTTTACTTGATGTACTTTCAGGCATGCATGGGTAATGCATTGTTACGGTCACACGCTGTTTAGTTTAGTGGTCTCGTTTGCATATCGTTATTACATTTTGGTGCATGAAAAACCCAAGAGATCCACCATCATTTTCATTATTATTACTGTATATTTGCCATCTTTTCTTGCATTTGTGAGTTTGAAAATTCTTCAGAAAATTCTGATCTCTTCTTTCCATTCGTTGTAGAAGTAGACGGCTTTCATCGAATGTGGGGCACAAAAATGTTTTTGGATTCGATGGTTCGGGAAATCAACATATGTGCAGTGGAAGTTTTACGAATCTTCTTGAAAAAGAGTGAGTTCATTGAAGGGGAAAGCTTGTAGTAGTCTTTCGTCATAATGGGTCACATTAGAACATGGTCAACTGTTCGTCAACTGTCTATGCGAACGAAAAGCGTATTCATTTATTTCGGTGGGGTCATGAATGTAATAAGTCGTTTTTTTTGTTCAGAAACCGGAACGATTTTACTTCCTTCTCGCTCGACGGCTGAATTGGAATAGCATGGTGGGATGTAGTGCATAAAGTGGTGGTAGGGAATCGGCGGTAGCAGTAGAGTGCCAAATGCAGGACAAATTTCAGGGCAGGTGTTCGCCTTCAATATTTGTCGGAGCGTGAGGGTTATCCGCTAGTGCGATCTCACACCGGCGAGAGGTCGCGTTTCAAGCTAATCTACACTCTGCAACATTATCGAGCAGTGTATTAAATACCGCCACCTACTTCTCATCAACTCCGTGAGGTCAATAGGAAGGATGATATGATATATGATGACATGATATGATATATGATGACATCCTTGGGAATCGTTACAAGCAATTCACAGAATATATGATGTGCGCCAACCCCTCAATTCAATAATTTGTATCTCAACTCGTGTTGCTGTGTGAAGAGAGACGACTTGCACGCCGCTTTCCGGATGATCGTGGAAGTGCGACAGGAATGTACTTTACTTCCGATACTATTCATTATATACCTGAAATTGGTCATGAGGAAAACAGGGAGAAAGTGAAGACAGTCGAGAGGCAATATCTAAATCCGTGAGCTTACCCTGTTCGATTGTCTGAAAACTCACGTATTTGGAACTTGCTGGCGATATCACACTTATCCGAAGAAATAACTCCAGTAGGTTACGACTTGCCTCACGAGACGAATGTGATTGGATTGCGCATCAGAGCCTGAATCTGAAGTGACGAGGGCCGGCCTTACTCGAAGAAACTTGAACATCAATGTTGATGATATAATACTGGAGACCGTTGACAATTCCACTTACTCGGGGGTGCTATCGCGCTGAAATTGAGAAAGATGCTGTCGTATTCGAGCAATTCGGCCAGCTTGATCTGTTCTACGGCACGGACGAAATTAAATCTGAGTCTAAGGAGGTTGACTCCACTGACACGAATTATTAGACACTTTGTTTCTCGTAAGAAGAGCGACAAACATTTGCATGCCAGACGTGTATTTGTAATTGTGATTTAGTTCATGTTCGAATCATCAATACTCTACAAAGTAAATCAGTGAGAGCTTGCTACCAGGAGAGGACCGTCGCCATTCGAAAAGAGATGTATAAGCCTAGATGTGCTTCCAAACGCTGCTCAAATCTGCTTTCCAAGTCTGCTTAATGATTCTCCCAACGGAGTTATAAAGCAAAGGAACACTACGGTAGTAATCGCTCACGGCAAAACGTCGTGAGATCGGCCCCTTAACTTGTTTACTGTTCTGCGATCTCCAGGAATACGTCTGAGTAGGCTGCGGAGAGACCGTTTCAGCTGTTTTTATAAGAAAAGCGAGGCCAGAAAGGCCGACCTTATTGCTGCTTGTTTCGTGACTTCGTTCAAGAAAATCGTTTAGCAGATATGGAAGGTAGAATAGAAACAGTGTTAGAAGGCACATCTAAGCTCATGCATTCCTTCTCAAATGGTCATTTCGACCATTCCTTAACACCAATAGTAGAGCCATAAATATGACCTCACAGAAGGACGCACTCTGGGACAAATCACATCAAACCAAACTTCTTTCCTTAATTCAAAATGTGAAACTCGAGAAGCGATGTAATAACTGCCTTTTCAGATTTTATTCTGTTTTGGTACCGACAGCGAAGACCAGGGAAGCAGGTTATTCATTCAAATATAGGCTACGATTTGACCTCGGAATGTGTGAGGGGTCATGTGAATATTCTCAAATGGGAGACCCTAATCCCTGTGCTTTATATTGTGTTACCTGTGGTTCCCATCTACACAGCTATTCTAATTCTTAAAAGCATGACTATGTCGAAACTGGTCATTACAAGAGGCATGTCTCAGTATACTCGAACGTTTCACACACAACTGCTCAGAGTAGGTATTTCTATCTATAATAGGATAAATATGATTTTACCATTCTTCTTGAAGTGAGAGATGTTCGCTCTGAATTTACAGTAATTCGCTAGATTTCTTCAATGGTTACAGCAAGGCGGAAGTGGGGTATTGGCAAGTGGCGCTAGCGCACAGCTCGGAGATTGAATCCCAAGTTGTGGGCAGTCACACTCGACTAACCTTTCCCCCTTCTCCTTCTCCATAAATTGATGGGCTTGTCCGCGGGTTGCCCCCACAACCCATTGCTTGGAGCAAATCGTCTTGCTTACATTAGCTTTGAACGAATTTATGATGAAAGCATCTTATCTATGGAGGAGAGGTGGTCAATGATGCACGGATAAAGAAAGCCAAAGAAAAGCAGGGTAGAAGCCGGGAAACGAGACCTTTTCTTTGCTCGTTGACTTTGGCATCTCAGCAGTGTTTGCGCTAACGCACTGATAAGCTGCTAGAGTCAGACGGCAAAGGGTTAATTGAAAATCGGTTGGCGTGCAGCCGGGCAAGCATCGATGGACCGTTAAGGCACACCCTCCGCTGAAAAACGTGCTTCTTTTCACATGGAGCTCGCGTGCCCTCCGACCTGACATATTTCCTCTTTCCCATCCACAGCTCCATCGCGAAGCACCCTTTTGACAGTTGTTAACACGACGTTGTCCTACTAGTAGTGAGAACCAAGGATTCTCCACAAATGTTTCTATAGCGGAAGGTTCTCACGTGTTGATTACTTATCATCCTGTAGTTCTAATTCAGAGTGATGGAATTATTTGAACCCATCAACCTGCCTGTTTATGAAATTCACATGGGCAAAATTACTCAAAATTCCACTTCAAGGCACTCATCGTGCAAGCCTGCCTACCTGTTTGCTTTCTTCTCGCTGTTGTAACCTATGGAATAAGTCAACTCAACATTTATCACCATCCATCTCTCGAACACTCGATCTCTTTTATGTTCGGAGCTCTTCCAGTATTGAGTCCTCTGACGTCATTGTTTTTATTCGACCTTATCGTATATGGATACAAAGGAAATTATGGCAGAATTCCTGCGCTTCATCGACGAGCAGTAATCTAACTACGATTTATCGTTCGAGTGCTTTAAGATCAATACAACAGTGATTGTTATCAGTTTTGTTCATTACTGGAATGTTGTTGTTCCAGCGATTTCTCGTTTCCATTAACCGTATTATCGCGGTTATATGGGTGGCGGAAGTTTCTACTGGTACCCGAGATTAATATTTCTAAGATAACGATCAGATTATTTTATGTTATTCAAATATGAAAACAGAGGCGCTGAACAGATGATGTGGAGTAATCGCCGAATACCGGGAATTCAGCCCAACAAATTTGAATTAGGCAGTTTTACGGCTAATATAGAGACAGATGATATGATATGATATTGAGCGCCTCTTTGGAATAATGAATAAAAAGGGCAACAAAAAAAAGGAACAGAAAAATTGCACTTGAGGAATAACAACGATGATTATAATGGTCGCAAACTCATTAAACTCGAAATTAGAGCGATTTCGCGGAAAATAACACACTCTTCCTTTTGTTATGCAAGCAAGGAAGCCTACCTCGTAGAACTCTTCCAGGTACGACTCGAAGAAGTTAGGTACTCAAATTTTGACGTCGTCGCGGTTATTGAATTTATTTGCTGCTAAGGAGCTGCGCTGACCTGGGTCAGTGATTGTTGGACGGTGCCAGGTCTGAGCTATATGGCGCGAGAGGCAGAGCGTCCCAGCCCAACTCCTCGATTTCTTGTTGCAAATTTTCGCGACATGTGGTCTTGCATTATCGTGCCATAATTTTTCATTGGCCGAATTTGCCCTTTGACGACGCAGAGCTCGGTCCCGCGGCGGGATGTTGTGCGCAGGGTTCAGCTGTAACTGTATGACCCACAATCAGCTCTCCATAGTAAGCCATTCTTATACTGCTTTCACCACACAAAAGACTTTTTCTGTGGCTGTCCGGTTTCGGAGAGGCCCTCAGCTGCCCATCTGTTGCCAACCACGGCCATCTTCTCACTTTGTTATCGGGGAACATCCTGTAAAACACGCTTTCAACGAAGTCAGGAACCTTCTTCCTTCTTGGAGTTATGGAGCAGAGTTCCAGTATTGGCAACCAGTACTGCTTGCTCGCGTCGCTCAGAATAGGCCGAACCCATTTTCTATCCTGAAAGGCCTTAACAGTCGCACGTAGGAACTTTTAAATTTTTCTGTTGACACAACTGAATCTCCATGCAAGTTTTGTGCGGTTTGTCGAGGCTCTTCGGCTTTCTTTATTTCTCCGTCATCTAGAGCTAGAGGTCAAAATCCACGATCTTCGTCCTCAGTCCTTTACCTCAGTCTTGGAAGAGCTGAAACCATAGCTGAAGTGCATCAGAGACTAAGTGTTGCTGCTCAATGTTTTGCACACAATGAGTGAGATTGCTGGCCGTTGTTCCTTGCCTTCCTCTTCCCAAATATGCATAAGAAAGAATTGTTCAAACGGAAAAGATTGTGTATCAATGAAACTTCGCACACCAACACTAGCATAAATTTTTGTCTTAAAATATGAGATATTTGTATATTTGATAGAAGTGTTAATAATAATGAATAGTTGATTTGATCGAGTGAAAATAAAAGCAACAAGAAAACAGGGAATGTATGTATAGTTTTGCTGAATTGGCCAGAGCGGCTTTTCAAAAGAATGCAGAAAATTCTTTGATATATTTGATCTAACCATAAGGTAAAGCTCAGAGTTGGTGTGAGGTTGACATTTTCCACAAAGAGACTTTTTTGGAGAATTCCTGGTAGGGGAGTTATGTAAAATTCATAAGTGGATTTATAATTATGCGAAGCAGTGATCTACCTTGTAACTAGCGCAACTAGAGCCGCAAGCTCGAATCATCCGCTCAATCATCGAGTCAATCTCAGCCATCAAAAATACACACTGCCCTTCAGCCCTGCTTCGCGTCTTCCCAAGCGTCTTCTGTGGGGAGTGTAAGAAGCCAACCAAGTGCAAGAAGAAGCAGAAGGGATAAGGATGGTGGGATTGCAAAAGAAGCAGAAGGGATAAGGATGGTGGGATTTATCGTTTTTATCAAAATTTCTGTTCTAACCATTCCTCTTACAGAGGCGTTGGGGGCGGTGCGGTCAGCGGCGGGAAATGTTGAAGCGTTGGTTACACAAATGGGGGAAGGAGCGAAAAACAAAGGCGACAGATTTCGTTATTTCGGTATGCATTCCTACTACTCTGAGCTCTGGATGGCCAATATTTTGATGATTTAGGCCTCGTAGGAGAGCAGCTACGCGAAACGTATGAAACCCCTGAAACGGCCAACTTCAAAATGCGCCAAATAATGGAAGTAATTCTGCCCAATTACGTTCTAGTTTCGATTGAGCCTCCGGCTGGATCTCAAGGAAACGTGGAGGACGAAGCGTTGCCACCGGAGTGATCAGATTAGTACAAAGCTGGATCTCTCTTTCTGAAATCAGTAAAATCCCGTTCAGACCAGTTCGTACTCTGCGAATAGAGCAAACCGCTAGCGAATCGCTCAATTTGGTAAACGTGACACCGGTCTTCAGTTGACTCATCTTTATTACGGCTGAGTAAGCGAAAAGTAGTCAAAATCAAATGTACAAAAGGGAAAACAACGAAACGGTTCAAATACAATGCTAAGTTACGCTTGAACAGGACCGCCGTATATGTGGTCGTAGTTGACCGTTATTCGATCTCTCGATTGTTCTGCAGCCGCTCGTTCTTGTCTTGCGTCGGCTTCCACTTCTACGTCGGCGACCTCTTCATCAATGTCTTCTGGCTCATGGACAGGAGTCGTGGAACTCACATTGGGTTCCTCAGCGTTTCCCCTCCTTTCCAACCAGTTGTGAAGCACCTGTAATAGTAATGTAATGTAATGCAATGTAATCTCGAGGCTTAAGCATCTGAGAAATAGTATACTTGCAAAGAGGTGCTCCTCACCAGCATCGATGCCACCATTTCCATTGCACGGCTGGGCTTCAGCTCCATTGGTCGTCCAAATATATGAAAACGTGCTCTTACGATTAGTAAGTCAAACGCTCTTTTGAGCGAGCCCTGTCAAACGACATCAATTATATTACTTCGAGTGACGGCTAGAATGGACATTCACCCGCTGTGTTTTCTGCGCCTGCTCGCAGTATTCGCTGATCCCGTCGCATATGGCGTAACGAAGCGATGTCCATGTGCAAAGCCGCAATTCACCAGTATGTGGTATTGCACTGGCCCCACAGTTCCAAGCTCTCGTGTTGGGGGTGGAAGATGTGGTCATTGCTCCTGAAAAATTGCTGAAATAGTTTGCAGATGAATTACATACTGTGAACTTATGCCTCACCTTGATCCCTGAACGCAAGAAGACCCCCGAATCACTCCCTGCGCCCGGCGTCCCAACGTCGAACAGTAGGAAGCGGCAGTCGCAGTCCACGACAGGGAGTAGAACGATACTGCACCTTTTTTGTAGCTGTAGTATCTGCTACCCGTGTGCGCAGGTTTCTGCAACCGAATAATACATTGTAGAGAAAAACCGGGCTTGTTTGCTCCTACTTTTAGGTACATATGCTTTCCATCCATAAACCCAACGGCGCGTGGGTAATCATATCTCTCGTTTGTTTCGAGGGCGACCTCTTTCCAACATGTTTGTTGTGATTTCCGGGGAAGCTTTTGCTTATGGCACTGGAAATGAAGGTACTATAACGTTGATGCCTTATATTCGTTCAACAATCGTTGCTTGCATTAGTCACGAAACCCACCTGACGTTATAGCTCCGGCCATTTCAAAAATAATGCCACTCAGTGTCGTTCTTCCACAGTGGAGGTCCTCTGCTAAGGCGCAGAACTCGGAGCCGTGCCCCACAAATCTTCGAACAGGTAACCTCACTGATTTAAATCATAACGCACATAGAGCAAGTCTTAAACTAGTTAATTGCTCAAAGATGACCATTGGACCCTTAGAGAATATAGAATAAAACATCAGAAACCCAACCGTAGGAAATGTGAGGAAAGCCTGACCTGTAATTGTGGGAAGAGGTAAGCAAACCAGCCCTTTTGGCGTTTCGGCTGGGACCGTATGCTGAATGTTGGGGAGGGGATGGGGTCCCCAACGGTCGACGGTTTACTTCAACTCGGTTGGTACGATAGGAGAGTACTGACGCAAGTGGTGCAGCTGGTCCAGCAGCTCCGCCAGAAGGGCTGGTTTGCTCACCCCAGGACTAAGCCTTGGAGAGGGGACGGACCCGTCCTCTCTTTAAGGCTTAGTTCTGAGGTAAGCACCAAATTGTGGCGGTTCTAAGGACCGAGTTGAAGTGGTCCGTCCACCGTCGGGGACTCCATCCCCTCCCCAACATTCAGCATACGGTCCCAGCCGAAGCGCCAAAAGGGCTGGTTTGCTTACGTCTTGTGGGAACGCCCAATATCGCTTCTTCCTCCTCGGTCACTTTTGTTATGGAAACCATTGTCATCGTCACCGAAGTCTCTGGTCCTCTTTCCATCAAAGCGACCCTAAAAACTTAAACCATCAATGAGCACCTATCTCCGAATGAATTAATCAGTGAAACACTGTACCCGAAATCCTCTGGGACCACCCCTTTGTGGTTCACGGTTGCTGTGCCAGTAAGAGCCTCCGTGGAAACCGCCTCGGAATCCTCCTCGCGATCCTCCGCGCCCGCCACGAAAGCCGCCGCCTCTTCCTCCTCCATGGAATCCACTTCCACAACCCTAAAATGCATACTTTGAAGCAAAGATTGTACCTCTACACTGTCACCTTGAAATTCGCAATTTGACAGAGATTATTCTTTGGGAATTGATTTTGGATACTATTACGGAACTAGTAATCATCGCTACAAAATATCAGAGATGGTAGTAAACCGTGACAATTTGTAGAACTTAGCCACCGTCGTGATACTCAAACGGTAAATTTGGGCCCACACCTGATGATTTTTTAGACAGTTGCTTGGAATTAACACTGTGCTTGAGACCAGATACAAAACAACACTAAACATGCCGGAAATACCTCCTCAAGCAGCTGAAGACCCATTCAACGCTTTTCTTTGTATCA